GCATCAGTTCTTATAGCAGGCCAGAAAAAGTTCTGAAACGCGTACAAATGGAGAAGTGCCTGGACAGGCTGATCAGTTCTTCTAAATGGAAACAAAATGTTGGAATCTAGCGGTAAACTATTGTGAGCTGCGTCGGAGTTTCTAAAGAAACTGTATAATAAAGGATATAAATTTAACATCGTAAAAATGGGGGAAATAACTTACTGACGTTCCGGGCGTTAAATCCTTCGTCGGAGTAAATAAAAATACCCTCAATATGGTAAAAATGTAGAAAAATGCATTTATTGTTGGGTCAAAACTACATGACAGTTCATGTCTTACATCTCGTCAATTAAGATGGAGGGTGGACACAATGGGGAGTYTGGACACCACAATGTCCTCCGAACTCAATTTGTACAAGAAATAGAAGTTGCACARATCCTGCTCCAACGGAGAACGGTACAAGCTGTGCCGGAGAACACACAGAAACGAGGGAATGCCCACCGAAGGAAGACCTGACTGGTAAGTGCAATAACTTTTGATAACTATATTGTTTCATAAACATTGAACAAGACGCTCTAAAACCCGTAAATAGTTTAAAATGTACTTATTATATCATTATTATACACAATGTTACACAATCTATATCTNTAATCTATTTTTAGACAACCAATCACAACGCGCGCACATATTACACGGCACCTGATTGGTCCTTGTTGATCTACTTCAAGAGCGGACAAGAAAGGAAAATTATGTAGTCGATGGAGGCGAACGAAGTGAAGTTTTCATTTACGAGAATTTTACACCTTTTGCTGAACAACCATTTTTGAATTCGATAGAAAACATTCTTTACTATATAAGCAATGTAGCGAAGGAAGTTCAAGAGCAATATAGTCTGCAAAAACAAGAGAAAAGTTCAGACAAAGATGAAGAAAAATGCAAAACAGCGTGCGAAAAAAGTAGTCTAAAGTAGCTTTCTTACAGTCAATAGAGTCGGACTTAAAGAAAACCAAAGGTTAAGTAATTTGATAGACAACATACTTTACTATATGAGCAATGTAGCGAAGGAAGTTCAAGAGCAATATGGTCTGCGAAAACAAGGGAAAAGTTCAGACAAAAACGAAGAAAAATATGCAGACAAAAGGAGTGCGAAGAAATGTCTGCAAAAATGTGATTTTTGTGGCGAGAATTGTTCTCGTTTTAATAAGAAATCTGTTCTAATAGAATTAAAAAGCCCTTAGACTATACATAGAATTGTAGTAAAGTATTTTAGGATCTAAAAAGCTTTATAAAAAGGGGAAAACTAATACAAAACGATGCCCGAGTGCGAAAAATGTCACAAAAACTCAATCAAAAACTCTTTTAGCAAAATGATGATATTATATTGTGAACTCTTCATTGTGTAAGGAGTTGAAAAAATGATTGTTCTTTAAAAGAAAAAGCGAGGAATAAACAAACTAGCGAATAGGTACAGAGGGTATTAATAACGAAATCATGTCGAATTTTAAGTTAACAATAAACAAGATAAGAGTTATGAAAAGCCACAAACAAGAAAAGTCATCAAAGAAATATCGATAACTAACTTGAATTTCAAAACAAACCCCGCCTACCTGAAAATTTACAGCTTTTCCATCTCACGTTAAGAGTCGAAAATTACTTTACCTTTGGCTTTGTTTAAGTCCAGCTCTATTTGACTGTAAGGAAGCTACTTTAGACTACTTTTTTCGCACGCTGTTTTGCATTTTTCTTCATCTTTGTCTGAACTTTTCTCTTGTTTTTGCAGACTATATTGCTCTTGAACTTCCTTCGCTACATTGCTTATATAGTAAAGAATGTTTTCTATCGAATTCAAAAATGGTTGTTCAGCAAAAGGTGTAAAATTCTCGTAAATGAAAACTTCACTTCGTTCGCCTCCATCGACTACATAATTTTCCTTTCTTGTCCGCTCTTGATCAACAAGGACCAATCAGGTGCCGTGTAATATGTGCGCGCGTTGTGATTGGTTGTCTAAAAATAGATTATCGGGACATCTGATGGTGGCGATACCAATGGGGAGATGGACACTTCTGGTTATGTACTTCTGGTTTCTGTAGTATGCACAATCGAGGACAAAACTTTGGTCGCTTATGAACCGCCCAAAATTGGATGCAGAGAGTATTCTTTTTTCCCATGTCTTCAACCACCCCTTCCCGCAATTCAGAGTTGCCTCTTGTTATGTGATGAGCTGCAGCATCTTTTACATTGAGGATTACCAACATTTCGCCCCGTGTAAGAGAATCCGGAATCCGGAATCAAATAAAAAAACAGCTTTGGAATCCGGAATCCCTATCCTGGAATCCGGAATCCAAATATTTGGAATSAAGACATCGTCCCGCTGACGCCCCTGCGCAGGCTACTGACACGCTGAATATAAAATTTTCAGGAAAAAAAACCCTTGAAAATCAGGCCATTTATTATACAGAATCCAAAACAAAAATTCTTTGGAATCCGGAATCCCAAGGCTTGAAATCCGGAATCCAATGTTTCGGAATCCGGAATCCAGCGCTTGGAATCCGGAATCCTCTAGTTCTCTGGATTCTCTTACATGGGGCGAAACATTGATATGTAAAAATATGAGAATCTTATAACAAACATACTCCATTCAGTAGCGGAGAATCACGGGAAGCCAAAAACTAAAGAAACTAAGACAACCTAACATTCACTGGCAATGGTTCAGTACGCTTTGACAATATTGCAACAGATAATACGACATTCGTTGATATGTARAAAATGCTTCTAAAGACCGTACGCAATATCAAAGATATACAGTGTTGTGTAAAAAGATAAATTTAACACCGTAAAAAAGTTGGTGAAATTCAGACGTTTACACCCGATTTCAAATGAGTGCGAACTCTCGAATTTGTTTTGAACGCTAAACTTTCACTCGACCGTCATTCACTCGACCGCTTGGTAACCAGGCACACGTGTTTAGTAAGTGATGCGTGACTTTCTCTAGCGGGACTTTCGCGTTTAGAATTATGGAGGAAGAAGCGGTGGTCTTTGTTCGAGATACCTGTGGTCCTTGTGTTTCCCAGAACATTCTACTTCAACTAAACTTGATTAAAAAATATATAATTTTCTATCTGATTTGTAGTTTAAATTTAGCTTTATTAACTTGTAAACATCAAATGCATGCAAATAATACTTTGCACAATAGCTTTACAAGAACCATGAACTTGAGGGTGTTGTTTTCTTCTGCATCTTGAAAAGATGTTCTTATGTTGAACTAAACTATACACATTTTTCTTTTCTTTCGTTATGTAAACAATTTAAGTTTACAATAAAAAAA